CAGACAACTTCGAAACAGCGATATTCTCTACTTAGATCCGTATCGTACCTCAATTGCAAAACAAAATTGTGTCACAAGAATATGTGCGATGGCTAATAGCCTTAATATGTCTGTCGATCTCTTTCGTGGCTCATCTTTAGCTTTTAAAAGGTCAGTAGTTGCAATTTTGCAGAGGCGCAATCAAGGTTGAACACGTTACATCATAGTGATACCGTATTCGTCTTCATCTTTGTTTTGTTTTTTCGTGCGGTCATGTTATCATATTGTATTTGAGATCAAGGGCAGGTTTGCCCGTAAATAAAGTATTATTATTATTATTATTATTATTATCATTATTATTATCATTACTGCTACATTACTATATAGGAACGAATGTTTCGACCATCGACAAAGTTAGTTATTCGTTAATGAAACATGTATAAATAATTTATAGGCTACACACGAATAGATTCAAACGGCCATCGCTACGCACAAGTATATGAACGATCAATAAATCGTATCAGCTGCGGTCGGTCGTAACGTTACATTCGGCCACCACCAATGATGTTACAATGGTCTCCCGACTACGCTTTTGATCTTTGATTAGAAATTTTCGCTAATGAGGTGCTTAAACGTGCCAAGTAACGATCGCCGTTACGTTTAAAAAGACTGGCTTTAAAAATTGACAACGAATAAAGAGCGGATATTCGCGCAGGAAATATTTACGTAGCAATTTTAAAGCAGCAAGAAATAAACATCTGAACCGACGTAGTACAAGGGTCGAATCGACTGGCTCGATAGTTTTACCGTTAATAGAGATCAAAGGGAAGAACGAATGCTTTTCCTTTCGTTTTGTTTCGAAAGGTCAAAGCTAAACGGAATTTTAGTCAACTTGGGATTATGGTACGGCGAGCAAAAAAGCTCAGAACGCGGCCGAGAGACGTTCTTTTTATTTATGGAGACGTTAACGCACCACCGAGTTCGCAATGCGATAATCACAACTACGCGAAAACACCGCGGACGAAATGGTTAAAATTCGGGAGCTTTCCTTTTCGCTCGCTGCTGTAAATTACTTTATAGTCTGTGGCTTCGAAAACATTTGTTGTCAAATATTCCAAATAAAACGCCACCTAATCGGATACTCGAAGACGATGATAACTGTTTCGCATTAATCGAAGTTGGTTCGCATTAGCGTTGGGCACAATCTTGAAGCTGATTCACACTCTCCGTCAGCCAACCGTCCATCGACCATTCGTCAAGACAATCTTCAAAGGGACCGCCAGCCGGAATGGTGACGGGCAATGTAAATACCTACACGCGAAATCCATTGAAGAATGTTTCGACGGACGATTGTCCGCCGGATAGCGTGAGTCAGCCATTATTCGGATAATGGCTAACGAACGGGAGTAATGGTAGATTGTTTATAATAATTCAGCTGAGAACAGTTGTTTAACACGTTACACGTATAACAGGGATTTTCGATATGGAATCAAAAAATTAATTCTGAAGATCGGGGTTCCGGACAACCCAATAGATTGTCTATTTATATAAACACGACCACATAAAATAATTGTGAGCGCAACTCGCGAAAAAAACTTTCGGGACAACCTAATATTTTCATGGCGATCTTGATGCTTCCAAAACAAACGAATTCAACGAAAATGAAGAAAAAGTTGCTTCGTCGGATTTACCCTTCCGAAAGGAGCATCCTTCTTACAAGGACTTCCTCGTAGACTCGAGTGTCCAAGAAATAATGATGTCTTAACTATTCGTCGCATTTATTTGGATTTGTCAATTATGGAGGAAGGCATAGCGGGGGAATTCATGTTGGCTCGACGATTGTTCCGGAGTTGACTGAATAATTTATAAAATCGCTAATTGATATTCGTAGTTGCCGGAGCGTAGACTTACAGCGTAACATATGTATTGTTTTGATAAGGATGGAGCACATGTAGCGACTGGGACGCATGGTGGGATGAAAATGGAGGAAAGAACGAACGGACATGAAACCGGAACGATCGTTGGAGCCTCGAGAGAGAAAAAAAGCTGGCAAACGTTCTCGCGGAACTTTCCCGGTATTAAAACGTAACGAATTTGATTCGTTAACGTCGAAGAAGTTACGAAACAAAATAAGACACTCCCTATGGCGATAATCTCTTCTGGTTAAATATTTTTAACAAATTTAATGGAATCGATGCCTTATATACAAGTCATCCAACTTTCGCGATCGTACGATAAATCACACTCGAGACATAGACCAAAACAGAGGCGAACATACATATACGTATACACGTAGAATATCGTAACATTTCTTCGTATTTGTAAACTCACGGGGCATTGGAAAGCATAGAGAAACGTTGGAGGTGTCGAATTACTACCGATAACGATACTTCCCCTCTGTTGTATTGAATAACTGGCAGGAAAGCGAAAAAAAAAAAAAAGAAAAATGGGTAGGACACGAAGAGAGGAAACGAAACTGCGACTGGGAGAAAAGCCGTTGGAACGACTCGAGAAGAAAACGCACGGCTGCGTTCGGCGGTGGGCACGGGCACGTCAAGAAAGAGAGCTCGATTCGTGAATACACGTTCCCCGAGACGCGCAAAGCTCTCGTAGCTGGAAGCAGAGTAAAAGAGAGGGAACGGGAGGGAAAGAGAGTTGATCTCGGTGAAAGAAAAAGGTGGAGGAGAGAGAAGAGAGACAGAACGGTGGACGCAGGCGACGGGAAAGAGACAGAGCGCAAACGAAAGGAAGAGAAAAGGCAGAAGGAAATAAAAATCTGAGGGAAAAAGGAGCGAAAGAGCCGGCCGATAGAGTACGAGATAAATAAAACGGCCTCGAGCGGCCGTGTAAACATTGCAGTGTATATTTTGGAGCGAATGATTTTCAGTGTTACGGCACGAGGATATCGGACGCCCGTTATTTTTTCTTTTTTCGAGGCTCGCTAGACGTTCGAGCCTGCACAGATCGGCAGGTCTGAATCGTGGAATGGTTGAGAAACACGCTCGGTCCTGCGGCAAGAAGGGACGATAGACGAGAAAGGAAGAGGCGACGAAGAAGCTGGAGGATAAGGAAGAAAACAGGAGGAAAGGAGGAAAAAGAGGCGGTGTGGAGAAAGAGGAGACTGGGAAGAAACACGGACCGAGAGAGGACTGGAGGAAGTAAGAGGGTAAAGGAGAGAAACGAGCGAGAGGGAGAGGGATTTTAAAAAAGGAATCGGAGCTCTCGAAAGAGAAAAGACGGCAAGTGGACTTACTCGGTATATCCGACAGTGCTTTTATTTGCTAATGCCGTGATGACGATGCGTCTCTTCGGCGAGACCGACGTTCCATGCTCGAAATTGTCAACTCTTGATCGAGAAATGGTACGAGCCGAAACGCAGACACATCGTAGCTCTCTTTCTCGTCCTTACTTTCTCGCTCTCTCCTAGCGACGACGATGATTCGGCGTGAACTCTCGACACTTCGACACGACGCACACACGCACCACACTCTCGAAGAACGATACACACCGCACGGATCCCGGAGAGTAACGAAGCCGACTTGACACGCGGAAGGCATGCAAAGTGTTTCCCGGTCGCATCGGGTAAACAGAAACCGCGTTGAAGTCACGGGAAATCGGGCACGGTTCGACTAGGCATTTCGCGGCTCGTCTCTCAGGCACATCTTGGTCGCCATCGAGATCTAACACGAGTGCGCGCGCGGGACGCGCACTCTCGCGGCCTCTGGCCAAACTTGCCCCTTCAAAGGCCGGCCAATCAACGGGTCGCATGGCCTACTCCAGTGCCTCCCAACCTCTTTTACTTCGCGACGCGTCAGGAGAGCCGAACAATTTATACGCGGTACGCTTTTTCAAATCGAACCGAAGCCTAAGAAATTTCTAATGCGACACCGAGAATCCATGTCTCAACAATTTGTCGTCCATTATTTGTAAACAATGTATGAAAAATGTATTTCCTTACTCGCAAAAACCGACATGCTATCGTTGAAGTAAACATCTTAGGAGTACTATACGATATAGTTTGCGTCTTCTCTTTTATTTTTATAAATTAGGATCGACAGCTTAGCTTTGATTTTGACTCTGCGCCGATAGCTTATTTCAGCATGATATCCAACAGCGTTCACGACGAACGATAATGGGTGGTATGAGAAGGCTAAGAAAAGAACTGTTGAAAATTGTATTAGAAATTTCTTTTTCTCAACGAAAAGTTGAGTAATTTAAAGATAGTAAAAAAAATGTATCACGGACAATATTTATAAGATAAATGTACCAACTGTGTAAAATAAATGTTTAATTTATTATAAACTTTTTCGCGGCACTCCTAACGCTTTCGTCGCGTCACACCTGTTGGGAAATGAGAGGCACTGGCCTGTATGCCCTTGCCGCGAGCAGTCCTGTATCTAGTTGACGCGCCGTCATTCATTCATCTCTCGGAATTTTCTTTTTCCGGAACTGTTTCCCTACGATCGATTCTTTTAACACCGATGCTCGTGTAATCGATTCGTTTTGCAATTTATTTTTTCCTACCTTGGAAAACATTGTCAGATAATTTATTTCGTTTTCCGCGCGTAACTAATTAACGTTATTACTGAGAAGTTTGCGTACACGTACTTGTACAGATGCCGCAGGGCTGGCTGTAACCATAGGCCAGCCAAGTACTGGCCTAGGGCGTCGAGTTTCGTTGCAATTCTAATTTTTATTTAATACGCGATAGATAAACGGTTCTTTACTCGTACACACTTTTCATTCGGAAAATTTGTACAATTCGTTTCGTATGAAAGGAAAGAGAATCCTTGCTTTCCATCCACAATGCGTACCACTATTAATTAATTAACCATCTAACGACACTCCTCGCGTGTAATATTTGTATCGATATAACATTTTCTCGTGATAAAATTAATAAAAAATCATCGTTATACATATAATAAATCGATAAATTCGTTTATGACTTTGCTCTTCTCCGTCGATATCATATCTAAATCGTTTGATGCTTTTAGTTTTCCATTCTGTCCGCGTTAACGAGTGGCGCTATCGTCGTGTTATCTGACACTAGACGCACAGAGGCTATGTTGTTGGAGAATAACGCGAGAGGAAAACGTTTCTAGCGTGCGATGCGATTAACAAACGTTACACGATACTTTGATTTGAACGAAGGGGACAGGGCTTGACGAGGAACGAGGATTAATTTCACCTCTCGTTATGTGGTTCGGTAGCTATGAAATCACATCGATACGCCTCGCGTTATACACCATTTCTCCCTTCTACTTGGCCCGCGTTATCGATTGTTACGAACGCGCCACCTGATAATGCGTTAAATGTGCACTTCTTTTAACCGAAATCGCATATCCTTGAATTTACTCGTCCGAAAGAGCGAGCGTCGTCTAATCGGACTTATCCGCGCCATGCGAAATTGACGTGCGCTTTGTACACTGTGGTGGCATGGAGGTAAGTTGATACAACAAATATACGAACCGCAGTATTTTCTGTTTTATCATTTATACCGTACCGCATATCGTGTAAGGTAAATATTCGTTTTCACTCATTCTCTTCTCGTGTATCGTGAGCATGCGTTCTTTTCACGTTAAACGTACGTTTCGTACGAGTAGTAGTTATTGTTATGAGTGGATGTAGATAAGATAACAACATTTTTTAAATTTTAGTTTTGATTTTTTTTTAGTTTACCGCATACAAGCGTTAAATAATTATATCGTTGAATGTTAAAGAAACTTTTGTACTTTTGTATTTTATTATGTTCATCGACGTAGTATCGTTATATTAAATAAAAAAAAGAATAGTGCGCCTGTACGTATGCAACCGCGAACCACGAAGCATTACACATGGGCATCATACGCACAGGAGCCACGAATTGCAAAATTTTATTCGAATACTAAATAACGAATTAAACCAAACTATGGCAATTTATTCGATTTTCAGCGCCTGAACTTAATTTTGTATATTGTTAAAAAAGAAAAATATAATTAATAAAATACCATAAATTAAATAATTGTAATTTTGTCTAGATATGCCAGATGCTGGGATATCTATCCAAACATATCAGCATGAAAGTGGAAGACTAAAAGCTCGATAGAATGGAATCCAGGATGCCCGTAAAGTACGACGATTCTTAAGTTCAGGATGGAAATCAGAAAAGGGCCTTGGTCGAAAAAGATCCTAGTTCCAGCCTGCTTTTTGGTAATTCTAATCTGGATCTTTCTAATCGACAATTCGTTACTCCTCGCTGGCCTGTCTGGTAAACCAACCTTACAAAAACCCAGAAATTCCGTTTCATCTACACACACACACAATCAGTATCCGGACCGTCTCTATATGAAGGAATCCTCTATGATAAACGATGTCGTATCGAAACACTCAAAGGTATCGAAACTTCAAGTGGTGTCACTTTGGACAGGCAACAACACCGTTAAAGGAAACACGGCCACCTTGCGCAAGTATCAGATCTTGAAACAGCAAGGCTTAACGCCCAGCAAACAATTGCCAACTGCGTTGATAATCGGCGTCAAGAAGGGCGGAACCAGAGCGTTGTTAGAGTTTCTAAGGCTTCATCCCGCTATTCGTGCAGCTGGCTCCGAAGTGCATTTTTTCGATCACCATTACGTCAAAGGATTCTATTGGTATAGGTACGCGTTACGATAAATTCGAATTCTTCTCTATCATCGATGCTACGTATAAAACGATTAACATTCTATTAATTGTAACGAATATTCAGTTTACGATATCTTTCAGACACCGGATGCCCCCAACATTGTCCACTCAAATCACAATGGAGAAGACGCCATCTTACTTTGTGACCAGCGAGGTGCCAAGAAGAGTTCAACGAATGAACCCTGCGATGAAGTTAATCCTTGTAGTGAGGGATCCTGTCACTCGAGCTATATCCGACTACACGCAAGTGAGAAGTAAACGGGCCAACATGCCCAAGTTCGAGGACCTAGCGTTTCTGAACGGATCGCGAATCGTGGACACCTCTTGGGTGCCGCTGAAAATTGGCGTGTACGCGCGACATCTGGAAAGGTGGCTCCGCTACTTTCCATTGTCGCAATTTTTATTCGTCTCTGGCGAGAGACTAATCGTCGATCCTGTCGCCGAGATGACGAGGGTGCAGGATTTCCTAGGCTTGAAGAGAGTTATATGCGAGAAACACTTTTACTTTAACGCTACCAAGGGTTTCCCCTGTCTGCTCAAATCTGAGGAACGTCCTACTCCCCATTGCCTTGGTGAGTTTAACGCAAATCTATACCAAAATACCAATAATGTCTATTGAGTTGAGACTCAGCCTAATTTAGCAACGTTTAATTTTTCAGGTAAGAACAAGGGTCGTAGCCATCCTTACATAGACCCCGTAGCCATACAACGATTAAGAGATTTTTATCGTCCATTCAACCAACGCTTCTATCAATTGACGGGAATGGATTTCGGTTGGTTGTGAGTAATGCAACAAGTAAATATACATATCGAACATAGTCCAGTAAAAAAATAGTCAATTTTATCGAGATACTGTACGCACGCGCGAACGCCCATTAGCTTGCACAGACGAGTAATCAGCTAAAAAGTAATGATGTGTTTACTCGTTACATTTGTTTCTATCTGTTGCGATACTTCGTACGACTCGAAATATTTTTGTACGCGACGTAAAGCGAAATGACATTATTTTAATGTGTTGACAATATTCCAAGCGATTCCTATTCTTCTTTGTGATATTACTTTAATTAATGGTATAAGTTTCACGGTTACAATCAATGTTATTTATTGTATGTATACTTTTCGTATACATATCTATATTTTATACATGACACAATGAAACGTTATTGTAAACTCGATTCTTAGTTATAAGATTAACTTTAAGTTATATCTTCCAGACAGCTATTCTCATAGTTTTCGTGTATGGATATATATCATTGTATTAATAATGAAATAATTTAAAGCTTTTTAAGGTATTATTGCCAATTGAAACGTGTGATACTTTGAATATTTTTATTGTTATTTGTTATATGTCTATACGTATAGTGTGTTGTGCATTTGCATTAACGTTAACATTATAAAACATCGTTAATATTAAGCCGAAGCATGTATCGAAGAGACACGTAATTTCGGATTTTGATATAGAAGAGAAAATGAAATGGACAATTTATCATACGATAGTTCATGGAATTTTTAGTTTGTAATTTTCAATAACGTCAATTAGAAATTTCTAACGACCCAAGTTACCGAAATATTTCTAAACTGTACAAAACATATAATTATTTTCTTGCACAAACTATAAACTGAATTCATTTGTATTTTGGGAAGGTGCACGTAACCACATAACCTAAAGTAACAATTTGTACAAATTTAATTATAAAATTAAGTAAGTTCCAATCGGATATTAGTCCAACGATAGCCGTTAATTATTAGAGCCTATTCGAAACGAACCATATCTTTGCAAATTAGTCTTCTATTATTAAAGATATTTCCTATTAATAGTAAACTCACGTAATTTGTAGCTCGATGAATTATGCGAAACATATCGTCGAGTAGTTAAGTACACGTTAAGTTACTTTGCTCAAGTGGCCTAACTAATCTATTTATGAAATAAAACTCTGTAAAGAAAGAGTAATACAAATAAAAATTCATACTGATGTTTCAGTCAAATTCTTAACTTGTATCCATTCATTTCTTACTTGTTTGTTTTTTCCATTCTGTTGGGGCCCACTAGCTTGGGTACCTTGGGATCGCTAAGCCCGTACTGTAGCTACAATTAACAATAGCTACAGCCTCTGAGGGGGGTCATTTCTTACTTCTATCTCAATTCTACAATATTCTGAATTCAGGTATTAAGCTTTAGCTTATTCCGAGTGCAATAAAGTCTATAAATCGTTAACAGAAAGTTAAGGAACAATCGAATAAAGTGATCTCGTACAGGAATTGTTGATAGTTATTTAACAGCCATCAATCCTTCTCGACAAACGCTTTTTGCTTAGTTATGCGATTAGGTTCTCATCGTGCAGTGTGCATAGCAAAAAATAATTGAGCACTCATCATCGTTAGCGGCGAGTACGATTACTTCCGTTGGGATTTCATTTAAAAGAAATTGTTGTTTCTACACGCGATCATTTGCCAGCGAATATAAACGTAAGAAACTTGCGGAGACACAGCAAGAAAAACAAATATTTTGTTAATGATAAATCACGACAAAGACATACGTACCCGTTACACATATTTTTAATCATTATGTGTAAGTGGTGAGTAAAGTAAAGAAACACGATTTCTGTGGTCAATTTTTTCTGTCTATTGAACTATCAAAAAGAAGATTAACAATACAAATCGAGCCGTTCGATGGTAGACAAACGTTTTCATAAAGTTCTGTGAGTTCTTTCACTTTCCTAAAAAAAAAAAAAAAAAAAAAAAAAAAAAAAAAAAAAAAAAAAAAAA